GGACAGACCGTTCTGCCAACGTGTTTCATTACTCAGCCTGCTTCTGATGACCTGAAGGGCTTCGTCGACTGGTACGTTGGTGAAAAGACTAACCACATCAAAACTGGCGAGCATATCATGTCTACGGAGATTAACAGACTTTAAGAGTTCTATGAAATGACTGGAATTCTTCACGAAGGAACCAGATCTGCCGGCCAAAGGGCTCAGTATTTTTTGTAGGAAGGCAGCCAAGGCGTAGCACGGGGAAACAATTGAGCTCACTATGGGTCTCAGTGGAATGCCTGGTTTGTGGATCTTAGGGAGACCATATAGGTGTGGGGGCCATCATGGAACTGCTGGATGTCTGCCTGAGGACCACCTACTTTCAAGGGGACGATGGATTCTACCAGCAGAAGGATGGCATGACAATGGGTAGCTCCTTTTCTCCCGTTGTTAGCAACATCTACATGGAACATTTTGAACAACTGGCTATCGACTCAGCGCAGGACAAACCGTCGTTGTGGCTCCGATATGTGGACGACACATTTGTGATCTGGCCGCATGGTGCAGAGGGGATACAGAACTTCCTTACACACCTCAACAGTCTGAGACCGGCTATCCAGTTCACCATGGAAATAGAATCGGAGGGAACGATCCCCTTCTTGGATGTTTTGGTCATGAAGAAAGGGACGGCTCTGACCACGAAAGTTCACAGAAAACCCACCCACACTGGCAGATATCTTAATTTCAATTCCAATCACCCTCCGCATGTCAAAAGAGGAATTGTTCATAGCCTTCATGATAGAGCTACCACTATATGCCAAGACCGGCAAGACCGGGTGTTGGAGGTTAAAAGTTTGAAACGCGACCTTCAACTGAGTGGTTACTCTCAGGGCTTTATTGACTCGGTTATCAGGTCCAAGGGCGGTAGTCGTCAAAAGAAAAAAGAGGAAAAGCCTCTTGGCACGGTGTACATCCCGTATGTCAAGGGAATCTCTGAGAAGTTCAAGCGCATAGGGAACCAGTACAATATTAGAACCGTCTTCAAAACTAAACACACTTTACGATCTTCGCTCGTGAGAACGAAACCAAAAAGGGATCCTCAACAGACGGCACAGTGCGTCTACAGCATTCCCTGTCAATGTGGCAGAAGCTACATTGGTGAAACAGGAAGACCACTGGCTGTTCGAATCCGTGAACACAAGCACAATCTTAAGCAGGGTCTTCTAGAGAAATCCAGGTTGGCTCAGCATGCATATGAAGAAGGTCACAGGGTAAGCTGGGATGAAGCTAGGATCTTGGAGATTGAAAGCAACAGCAGATACAGGAAATACAAAGAATCAGCTCATATGGCATGTTCATCCAATCCGATCAGCCAACCCAGTTTGGATATTTCTCCCATATGGATCCCCCTCATCAATGAAGAGGTTAACAAACCAAAAAATGTAATTTTATGAATATTAGTGGTTCCACTACTACTGCAAGTTTTCTTCCGGGGATTAGTCTGATTCCCGGAAGTCGCCATGGTGGCACGATTCTTTATCCATGCAGATCAGGCATGCTCTATCCAGTTTTTACTTTCGTTTTTAACTGAATTCATGGAATATAACCCATACTTCTGTTTCTTTACATTGTTGACAAGTGCATGTTTGGCACAAATTTTCTATCATGTTTTTACTGCGATTTTATTCTTTCCTCCCACTGATGGAACCGGTTGTCGGTTGTTCATAGGTTGTTTCTACAGCTCAAGGTTTGTCCAGTGATTGAGACTAGCTCTTTCTAAGGGGCCCAACTGAGTAGGTTAAACCTTCCCAATCTACCTGAAGATGGAGACAGATCCAGTCTCCGAAACGTCGTGGTTTTTTGTCTTTTATATACTGGATGATGGGTGAAGTCCAAAATAAGCCAAAAGAAGTACCTGTGAACATGTTATATATATTTTCAAAGAATTTGCAAAATTTGATTTAGAAAATTTAAGATACCACCAAATTCCTTTTAAGCTTCAGGAGTGTGAACTAGTACTGCTGCTGTTTAAATAATTTATTCTTAAAATTATGTGTGTAAACATAATTTCATACCTTCCAATAGGAAGGAAATTAGAAATAAAAAATATACTCCATGTAAAATCATAACTAATAAGTTATTCTGGATCTGTTGCATATGTATAAGCAGTTTTGAAGTTCAAATATTTTCCAGAAATTGGTATGAAAATGTTAACATTGGTAGACAACAGGTTTCCTGTTGGCTATATTGGGTACCTCTCATAGGGCATGTACAGAGGTGAAAGGTAAAGTTGTCCCTGTGCTCAACAAATTAAGCACTATGCCATGAAGGCATATGGGGGAGTGGATATATAGATCCACATTTTTTTGACCTCGGCACTAGCTTCACACACCTGCTGCTTTACATCTGGGGAAATAGCCTGAAGTACCCATTGGATAGAAGGTTGGTTGGACTCCAGAGCTGGTCTGGACAATTTGGAGAAGAGGAAATTCTTGACCCTACCAGGTTCTGATGATGGTGTATAATACTCAGAATTACTGTTTTTGGTATTCTAGAAACTAAAAAACAACGTTTGTTTTTTAAACATTCTGTTTTTTGGTTGTTGGGCAAAGTCCAAAAACCCAGTAATTCTGAGGGGGACTACAGACAACAGGGTGGGATAGTTCGCAATTATTTGTGCTTCTCGGGACGAGGAAAAGCATATCTAATGGACGATTCCACTGGTGCTCCAGGTCTGCCATTCATATTTTCTGCAATTTTTGTGGCTCGTTCTGAGGAAGCTTGCGTAACCGGCGCTCAGGACTTAGTTAGTGTTATCAGCAATAGATGGTGCTGAGTGTTCAAATGCCTGATCAGAACCGTTTGAAATGTTCCACGCAGATTCTCGCGGGAAGTCCGCGCAACAACGGCTTAAGGAGCTACATTAATGTGCGTTAATGTGTGCTGCAAGCGATTACGCATTTGTACAGTCCGAGCCGGCCCGTGCAACAACGGCTGATGTACATACAAGTGTGCTACATGAGTGCAAGAGAGAGATAATGTTATTCATATGTGATCTCGTTGTGCAGGCTTTGGATGGTTTGTGCAAATTCTTCCGTTTTCGGACGATAACACAGTGACAGTAGAATGTGTGGGAGCAGTTTAGATTGAAAGAGCAAAGTAGCGCCTGAACATGAATCGTGCGAAGTCTTGCCAGCCATCAGCACTGTGTTCGAAAGTGGTATTTCGCATAATGTTGTTCTTTCGTGTTTTGCATTTAGTGTAGGTTTGTTAGGTTAAGTTGGATTCGCGTGGCTTGCACGGACCGAAACCGCGTCCTGCTTAGTGTAGAAGTGCTGTGTTATCGGACTTAGGAAAACAGGGTATGTCATATTATCATCTCATTGTTAAACTATTCATTGACTGGTGGACACAGTATAATTGTTTCGTATTTCACCGTAATTTTAAAATTCATCAGACGAATTTCAATTTGGTGACGACATAGATTATGACGCGTTTGGACAATTTAATAATTGTAAATAAATATCGAATCTGGTAACATGTTAGCAATTCCATTGCTTAATACATAAATTCCAGGCACAGTACTTTATAGGACACAGTTTAGATATTGCATCGTTTCCTATTTCCGTTTTCAGTGCGTTATCACAATAGTTTCAGCCCTCTTCAGTATGTCCCTTGTTCCGAGTTATAGCTGCAACACATATTATTGCAAAAGAATTTGAGCTTGAGAAACTTTTTGATAGTGTTAGAACATAATTTTGGATTCACATGGGATACAATTTCAGAAATGATATCATAACCCGGATAACCACAGCATGAACACTAACTCCATGGAGCTGAGCCCTTCTTGAGAAGCTGCCAGTTTTGCAGCTACTCAAGAATATCCCAACATTTATGGAGCCCGAAGATTCATTTCCATTATCATGATGGCCTTCCGCTTGTCTCTGTCCTGAGACAGATCAATCCAGTCTATACCACACCATCCTATTTCTCTAAGATCCATTGTAATATACACCCCCCACATATTGGTCTTCTTAGTGGTCTCTTTCTTTCTGGCTTTCCCACCAATATCATTTATTCATTACTCTTCTCCATTCATGCTATATGCCAATGTGAATACAAATGAGACGTAATACCCTCATTGTGCTGAGTAGTTAGATTATGGTGTTGTGCGATGTGACACCATGAATGTACAGGCAGGAGATTGCTCTGAATTATATCCACCAAACTACGGAACATCACATCACAGAACACCATAATCTGAATAAGGCCTGCCTGAATTAGCTTCCACTTTTGAACAGTTATGTCACTTGAGAAGAACTATAAATATTACACAAAATACATTGTATTGGCAGATAACTTTTTTTTTGTAAGATTCTTTCTTCTTGCTATTAACACTGAAAACAGTCATGAAGTATGCCAACAGACTTCATATTGCCTAGTCCCACCAGTTACTTTATTTGATGGCAGCATCCTTTTGTATGTGGAGGTGCATCAAGGCTCAAGTGTATCAGTCCCCCTGTGCCTTGAATATGTTGTGAACTACAAGCATGGATTTTGCAGTAATTGCCACAGGTACTGCTAACATGCTCTTTTGCAAGTGGGAGGAGGACTTGTACAGATGGGAAACAAGGAGACTGCACCTAACATTCGTGAAACTGAAAAATACAATGGCAAAAATTGTCTGTTCTCTGCTAATACAGTGTATTTTGTTTCGTGTTTATGGCTGTCTTCATTTCTAAAATATGATTATTCAAAAGTCTGACATTATTTGGAAAGATCCAGCATTGGTATAGTAAACACATATAAAACACAATTTCTGTGACATTTCATGGTGGATGTCAGGGGAATATGCACTAGAGGTGCTTAATCCCATGGACATCATGATGCCGATTTTTGATAGAACTGTCCATAAAATTGTATATGGTCCCCTCAATGTTTCAGTGAATTTTCACCATGTCCCAGCCAGTTACGACAGCCATGGACAGCTTAACAGCTGCTCTAAAAAGCAACATTATTCCAAATCAGGAGTATCTTTTGCAAGGAAGTGTACTGGATTCTGCAGTTGAGGTGTTGCTGCATCGCTTGCGTGGCTTATGTGATAATGTGGACTCTGGTCCAGAGACATTCCATGATCATGAGATGTGCTTCAGCATTCGTATGTATATCTGTACATGACCCTTCAAGCAGGAAGGCATGTTGGGTAGAATACGTTCGAAACAAGAATTCCTATAATGAGGCAGACAATGGTCTTATGGATGCATGTTCACTGTATTGGTTGGTTATACTGAAATTGCAATGAATTGTGTGTAATCTGAAATGTAATATGCAAGCATCCTTTTTATCCATTTCTTTTACCTTGCACATTATTCATTGGCTGAAAATGTGTTTCAGAAGGTGGTTCTGCATTGGTTTTCAGGCAAAATGAGACATATAATCTGACAGTTCTGTTTTTGGTCAGTGGACCAGCTTCCCAGACTTATGAAATGAATGATTTTAGGTTTTATTCACAGCCCTGTGGATTGCCTGTTAGAATTGCTTCATCTATATGTCAGTACACATGAAAAATTTCATACCAATGAATTCATTTTCAGGAAATTTGATATTGGGGTTTTAAAATTTATTAACGCATTACAGTTTTGGTTAAAATTAAACAGACATAATGGCCACTTTGCATGTGTTTCTGTATATATTTCAAACATAACACTTTAAATATTTTTTTTTTTTGCACACAATGATCTGATTGAAAGTTGTAGGGAAAATAAGACATGTCATGCCCCATAACATTTTTTTTACAGAGTCTTAACAGTTTTCAACATAATGAAACATAAATTATGGAACGCTCCTAATTTGAATATTCAGTGATCGATATTGGTTTTGCAAACATAGAAGATTACTGAATCACTGACACTTCTGTTCTAAACACATGAAGATTACAGAAGTCTCTTGCTTGCTCCAGTCTGAATATACAGATTTACATATATATAAATATGTATTTAATTAAAATAATTACATAAATACTTTGTCATGGGTGTTTCCATGTCGTTTATAACCCTTTCTTTCAAATATGCCTGTTAAACTTTTCTTTGTGCTTTTTTTCAGTTTTGTTTATATTTAGTGCTGCTAGGTCAGTATCTCTTACTTTTATTTTTTATTTTTGCTTCAGGTGGAACTAACCTACAGCCATTACTCTTGCGTGTAAGACGTGCTCTTGATTATCAAGATATGCCATGGCAACTAAGATATATTGGACAGCCAGAAATTGGTGAGTTTCTCAAAAGCTAGTGTTTCAAAGCAAGTTGTACAAACAATTGGCTGCCTGTCACTTCTCACACCATCGAACCCACCCCCTTGTCTGAAATTCTTCTTCTGCGCATTCAAGGTTACTCTTGGCCTTGTTCGAGGTTACATGACACTTGCTTTATCAATAATTTGCTTGCTCTACTTAATTTGGGTGTGCAGCTATAACAGTCCATGTGAATTACAGAACATATTCCTAGCACTCAGGGACATTGCAAGAGCACACTGAATCATAGTCAGCTGTTGATGAGGACTCTATATTGGTTGTGCATCATTTCACAGGTGACAAGAACCGACCTACTATAGTTCGTAGCAGCATAGACATTGGGACCAGTTCAACTGTAGTTGAATTCCTCACCGAATTGGGGTGCAGAATGGATTTTGAATATATTGTGAGGGGTTACATGTTCCGTAAGGGACGCATGAAGATTACGGTTTCAAAAATATTCAAGGTAATTTCTCACTTTATTTTGTTATCAGAGAGGGGAACATAATCTAGTACTTGCATGTTAGTGGGTGACCAAATAAGTAAAAAGCATCCAGCCAGAGTGTTCCGAACATTAATAATGCCGTCCATCTTAGTAGTTTATTTGTTAAGCAAGATCCAAAGCCGGATGCTGTATTACTGCTGAGAGCATTGCTAAGCAGCCCATTGAAGAGAAAGAAGGCTCAAAGCCTAACTTTGGAATTTGGCTCAGTGAACAAGTCCATAAGTTAGGCTTTCGGTTTTATATTTAAAAATAAATGTCCAAAAACTTTCTAAGGTTAGGCTTTAGGGTTTGTTTTTAATTATCTACTACAGTTGTCAATGTTAGTATGGCAGATGTTATGGTGGTAATGTTTTGAAATTAATTGGGTCATCTGTTAATACATAACTACCCATGACCTCTTTGTCTAATGTTATAGTAGTGCTTTTGATCTCTGGGAAAAGTGAGTATACTGTACTGACTTGAATGAAGTTGAATTGGGTCATTATAATAGAGTGATGGACTGAGATTTTGTATCAACATTGAGTCTGTTGGATTATGGTTGTCTGGGTTATGACACTACATATTCTGCAAGGTGGAGGGTTGCTGGATGACCCACCGATGGTGTCTCCAACTTATTATGGTGGTGGGGTGCTCCTGAGACCCTGAGAGCTATGCAGGCAGTAGCATAGCTACTGGTAGGGTCACACATGCTGGACAGGTCAAGGGGTATGAGTATGAGTATGAGCCACAAAACTGGCCCTAGCACTCTGACCTTCAATTGTGCTTCCCCTTTGGATTAACCCTTTATTAATCCTACACTTCGAATGAAATGTAGGACTTTGTTTATGGGGGCATCATAAAAGTCACTTGGTTCCATGAAGAATTGACCCAGGTGGCGATATCTTAAATAAGCTATAGCCTCACAATCACATAAGATGTGTGTGGCTGATTCATCTTCTTGTAAGCACCTCTCACAAGTTGGATCCTCTGTCAGTCCCAGTTTGGAAAGGTGTCTTAGGTGGCAGTGTCCAGTAAGTAATCCTACCACCCATCTGAGATGATCTCTTAATTTTAACACGTCCCCCGTTCTTTTGGCAGAGGGTCCTGTTATAAATCCTTTTGCCTGTTTGAGTCCAGTTATGGAATCCCAGTGTTTTTTTGTGATTTCAGTTAGTCCAGTCCCTGATCGCTTTCTTGGTAACTCCAATTGAGATGCCGCAAGCTAGTTCAGCTCCTATGAACGGCTGTTCAGATCCTGTTCTTGCCAGCTGATTTGCAGTTTCATTCCCAGCAATACTCTCCTACTGAGATGCTGCAAACTGGTTCATGTCCTATGAATGGCTGTTCAGATCCTGTTCTTGCCAGCTGATCTGCGGTTCCATTTCCAGCAATACTCTCCTACTGAGATGCTGCAAACTGGTTCATGTCCTATGAATGGCTGTTCAGATCCTGTTCTTGCCAGCTGATCTGCGGTTCCATTTCCAGCAATACTCTCCTACTGAGATGCTGCAAACTGGTTCAGCTCCTATGAACGGCTGTTCAGATCCCGTTCTTGCCAGCTGATTTGCAGTTTCATTCCCAGCAATACTCTCCTACTGAGATGCTGCAAACTGGTTCATGTCCTATGAATGGCTGTTCAGATCCTGTTCTTGCCAGCTGATCTGCGGTTCCATTTCCAGCAATACTCTCCTACTGAGATGCTGCAAACTGGTTCAGCTCCTATGAACGGCTGTTCAGATCCCGTTCTTGCCAGCTGATTTGCAGTTTCATTCCCAGCAATACTCTCCTACTGAGATGCTGCAAACTGGTTCATGTCCTATGAATGGCTGTTCAGATCCTGTTCTTGCCAGCTGATCTGCGGTTCCATTTCCAGCAATACTCTCCTACTGAGATGCTGCAAACTGGTTCAGCTCCTATGAACGGCTGTTCAGATCCCGTTCTTGCCAGCTGATTTGCAGTTTCATTCCCAGCAATACTCTCCTACTGAGATGCTGCAAACTGGTTCATGTCCTATGAATGGCTGTTCAGATCCTGTTCTTGCCAGCTGATCTGCGGTTCCATTTCCAGCAATACTCTCCTACTGAGATGCTGCAAACTGGTTCAGCTCCTATGAACGGCTGTTCAGATCCCGTTCTTGCCAGCTGATTTGCAGTTTCATTCCCAGCAATACTCTCCTACTGAGATGCTGCAAACTGGTTCAGGTCCTATGAACGGCTGTTCAGATCCCGTTCTTGCCAGCTGATTTGCAGTTTCATTCCCAGCAATACTCTCCTACTGAGATGCCGCAAGCTGGTTCAGGTCCTGTTCTTGCCAGCTGAGCTGCGGTTTCATTAGCAGCAATACCCTCATGACCTGGCACCCATATAAGTTGTACTCTGTTATGTCTGGCCAGTTGTGTGAGGGATTGGTGGCAGTCCCAAACCAATTTTAAAGTGATTTGGTGTGTACCAAGTGCTTTAATTGCAGCTTGACTGTCTGATAGAATATAGATGTTCCTATTTCTATAGTTCCTATCTAAAGGTCAAGGGGTAGGAGCCAGACAAAGAGGAACACCCTGGTCCTCCAGGTTTAGGGTTGGGTATGAGGCTAACAACCTCACACTGTGAAAACTAAATTGTTCAGAAACCAGGTAATCGGAATCAGATGGATTATAGAGAAGAATGGACGCAGATCGTTCAGGAGGCCAAAGCTCACTCTGAACTGTAGTGCCAAGGTGAAGGAATTGCTGGATCATGAGATATCCATCTGTTCATCCAGTTCATTGTAAGTTCTCAGTTCTGAGTATCTGAACAATACTAAATGAGATGTATAAATTATGAAGCTCATCATTATGTAGTACAGTCCATTTCTTTTTGATTCTGTATTATAAATTATGGACTTGTGAAATTTCTGGTACTGTTCTGCAAATTTTGGGGACCAGTGAAAGTCTGCTTGATGTTCTTGAGACTGTGCCTGTCATGCAGGTGGGACAAGTGGCACAGGGGAAGCCTGCAGAGAGTATGGAGCCAATGTCACAGTCATATTTGGTGGAACTGAGTGTGTTAGCCCCCAGTGGCCAGGATGCCATTGCTGAGGACATGCGCAGTTTCGCTGAACAGCTTCGCCCTCTGGTGCAGCTTGAGAAGGTTGACTATAAGAGGCTACAGCACATGCCTTAAAGACGCTACTTGATTGTATGAGATTCAGATTCTTCCAGCCGTGAATATTAAGATTATGGTGGAACCTGCTGCCTCCATCTTCATGGTAGAAGTGGGCAAAGTGGGATAATTTTCATGTAACATAGGGAAGCCATCAGACTGTTTATGGCTCTGTCCCTAACTTCCCTTCCCAATGTTATGTCCACATTTCTCCGCTTGGCTGTTTGTCTGCCCTGAAGATGACAGCAGTAGGTTCTTACAAAACTTGGTTTGTATCTACAAGACTATACGGCATCATTTCCTAGATCATAATGTTAACTCTTGATTGTGTTTATATTACACTTCTCACTGGACAACTTTTTAACACAATTTTTATGGAAGTAATGAAGACTGCAAGAAAAGTTCTTAAGTTTTGACAATACATACCTGTGTAGTTGATACAGTACCATTAAACTGTTAAAACCATTTTTCTGGGTGTGTTCCACTAAAATGCTGAGTGTTTATAATCTTTGGTACCTGCTCCTTTGTGTCTGTGGGTATGTTCTGGGTGTCAGTTATACTGTTTCCAAAGGCCTGGGAAACAACACCTGGATACACAAGCTCAGAGGGATTGTGAGCAGGGTACAACATTGAGCTAAAACCAATGAAGAGGGTCATCCTCATCACAACATAAAACAATTTTTGTATGGGATCATCCTGTGCAATCAGAGCCGCACTCAATTGCACAAGGATGACGGTGAGGTCAGAGAGGCCTTACAAGACACCCTGCACCTCCATCCAACCGCAGCAGCCCATGCTCTGTATGCCAAAAGAGAAATGGAGGTGAGACAACAGCAACAACCCAGTATGTAGGATTTGAGGTTGATAAAGCAGTTTATGAAGAGTTCCTTCTGGGATATAGTGCCATGTAGTCCTATGAAAATAAGTTGATTTTTTGGAGGAACATGTCATCTTCACCTTCAGAGTTGAAGAGTAAGTCAGTGCTGAAGATGGTCACATGTTCCTAGAAACGTTGGCTGGGTATCAATGGACTGCATGGCTTTATATTCCAGAAGTCAGAACTCTTTTAAATGTCGGGGTACTTCTGAAGCTATAAGGAAGTTACAAACCACATGTATCAAGGAACCGGAGAAGACCTTTGAAGATACCACTGGATGAATCAGGCCTGAATGGGCCAACTAGTGGTCCAACTCCCTGACTGTTAATGATGGTGGATATTGTGTGGAGGCCACTGTTTCTAAGCTGGTGATTAGCAGGTGACCCAATCCATGAATTCTGTGCTTTGTCACAACTATAACAGTGGAATTAAAATTCTCATTAGCCAGTTGCTCTTAAGTTTCACTTCAGAGATGAAGAAATAAAAGAAAATCAAACATTACAATTTAAAAAATGTGGCCCTATTACAAACAGTAATTAAGCACCAGAATTTGTTGAAATGGTTGGTTATCAGTGAATTGCAATGAAACAAGAAAAATAGTGAAATATGGCTGTGTAGGGCAGGAAATATAAGAGGAATATTATTCATTATGCACTGTAGGAGAGTACCATAAACTCACCAAATCCTGTCCATTATTTCTTTGTCTGCTGAGTGCTTTTACAGCTGTATTGTTAATGGCAATGAACTATTAGGGTTACATTCTTCTAGGATGTAATGCCATGCATCCTTACAGACACCAGTCTTTTGGTGGAATCTGCTGACTTCATCTTGGGCAGGAAGGAGATGAAGATGGAGGCAGCTTCTTCCAGAATATTGGTACCTATCTATAAGACTTCATGAAATCACACTTCAGAAGACCAAGTTTAATATTCATCATCACGATTTCTCCAATTCTTGCATAAACTGCTAAATTTTGTAACATGGAATTCCTTGGTGTGTCTAATTATTAACAGTTCAAGGAAACTCTGTACTGCCGAGTCTATTAACTTATAAGACATGGGAGAAGGTAGGGTTCACAGGAACAAATCAAAAAAAAAGTGAAAAAAAGACACAGTAATTTCCATATTTTCCAAGTCTGTAATACATTGGAGGAAATGGACTACTTGTTACAATCTAAGGCACCAGCACACTTGTGTGTTCTTAAAATCTTTCGCCATGCAAACTTCTTTTGACATACTGGACACACAAATTTTTTTTCACCTGTATGAATCACTTTGTGTTCCTTGAGGCCTTCTTTGCGTGCAAATCGTTTTCCACAGTCTTCGCAGTGATACGGCCGCACACCACTGTGCATTATTTTATGGCTTGCAAGTTTTCGACTGGTGTTGAATGCTTTGCTACACACTTCACATGTGTAAGCCTTTTGATCGCTGTGATTCAGTTGATGGTTCATCAGACTGGGAAGAAGTGTGTATCCTTGGCCACAGATCTCACACACAAATGGTTTTTCAGCCCTGTGCACAGATTTGTGATTCTTTATGTAGCTTCGTGATGTTGTAGAGTAGCTACATTCATCACACTTGTATGGTTTAATCCCTGTGTGTACACTCATGTGTAATAGAAGGCCTTTGTCATAAGCAAATCTCTTCCCACAATACTCGCAGACATATGGCTTTTCTCCAGTGTGTATGCGCATGTGCACCTCTACCTGGAATTTGGATGGGAATGATTTGCCACATGTCAGACATTTATGCTTTCCCTTGTGGATGTGAAGATGTGTCTTCACAGCACCTGCTGTTGAATAATCCTTCCCACACAAGTTACACACAAAGCGTTTCTCAGGAGTAAGATTACAGATGTGAAATGTGAAGTTATTTGTGTAGCTGAATGTTTTGCCACATTTAGAGCAGCCATATGTTTTACAGTCTGAAGGGTCATCAACTTTGCTGTGATTTTTAAGGTTTCCTACATTTCCAAACCTGGCAATTTTAGGACTTTTTCTACCGGCAGGTTTATCGTCATCACTCTGAATGTCATCAGAACCCATTTCTGACTTCCCACTATCCATTTCAGAATCATGGTATGGAATGTCTGAATTGTACAACATGCAACTCTTACCCTGTACAAATGCAGTATTATCACTGGTGTCTCTGTCTCCTTTCTCATCGGCCATTTTTGAGGTTCTGTGGAATCCAGGTTCTGTCTTTACAGAATCCTCTTCTTGTTGTACCAAGGAGTCATTCTTTACATGCACATCTACAGTTGTGTCTGTTTCAAAATCCCTTTTAGAATTTACTCCTTGTTCAGCTGTAATGCCTTGTGAAGAAACACTAGTATAAATTACTTGACCATTATGAGTCTGTTTTCCAGTATTCACCTCTAAACCAACATTTCTTGCAATGCACTGATGTAAAACATCATGACAATGTTTGCATTGTTCTTTGAATTTATGCCACGCATCAATTCGATTATGGCAGTTATTGCAAATCGTTGTTGGGAAGCCATCATCAATGGAAACCTGTAAAACACCAGGATTAAAGGTACTGAGTTTGAAGGAGTCTTAGAATAGAATAGAATATATGAGGGGTAGGCCTTCTCGGCCCTTGCACCACGATCTTAGGTCTATTGTGCTTCCCCTTTTTTTAATTATTCCCTCAGCAACCCCACGCTTCGGATGAAGCGCAGGATCTTGGACATGGGGGTGTCAAAATAGTTACTTGGTTCCATGAAGTACTGGCCCAAGTGACATAATCTTAAATAAGCTAATGCCTCACATTCACACAGGACGTGTGTGGCTGTTTCATCTTCTATCTGACACCTCTCACAGATGGGACTATCACTCAGTCCCAGTTTGAACAGGTGTCCTTTGAGGTGACAGTGTCCTGTAAGTAGTCCTACAACCCATCGTAGCTGGTTCCTGTTGAGCTTCAACAGTTCCTTCACTCTTTTAGCAGAAGGTCCTCATATGAGTCCCTTTGCTTTTGAATTTTGCAATTTTGCAATTTATGGTAACTTCTTGGGAAACGTATTAACTCATGTCTAACACCAGTAAAGTGTTAAACTAATTGGATATGAAAATATGGAAGGAAAAAGTTGCGTCTACTTTCAAGCACGTTTTTTTTTTTTGCGTGAAAAGTTTAACAGTAATGTAATTCAGGAAATATATCCGATAACAGTTACCTACTGTAACCAACAAAGGGCTGTATTTGCAAACTTTGCTACATGTTAACTTACTCTACGGACAAACAAGTGAAAATACATGTTCCTTACGCAAACATGGTTCTTGCCGCATAAATGTGACGAAAACTAACCTCAATTCCGATATATGTTAAAATTCTAGACGCCATAGGGAGTGCTGTTCCGTCTTCATAAAATATTGGTAACATAGCACGTTTGTGTGATAAACAGAGCCGACATATTTTATCCGAGTGAAATAAAGCTTCCTTTTTCGTAGGATTCATTGCAGGTTTTATTACATTATTATTTACCTACACAAAACTAATACGTACTGAACGAGCCTTTTAAATCGACGTACGAATCGAAATCGAGAAATTGACTAGAAACGATTATACTAGCGCTTGCTTTGTTTGCCGATTTAATCCCTGTTACGAGCGTACCAAATAACCTGAAGATTATTAGTACTCTGTCATTCATATTCGTTGTATATGAGTACAGAAGCCAACGGGAAAGTATACAAATAATTTTAAAATATACTATATACATATTACTCGAAAATGTGATTTGGTTACAGTACCTAGAATTGTATGGCATTCCAGTGAACTCCAAATATCAGACTGACAGCCATAAATGTTATATATGTCTGTATGAAATTGTGTATCATATTTATTTAATGGCATGTTTTTGCATAGATCCTCACACATTTGCGCCAGAGTTTATTACCATCACAAACTGTCAGTTACATGATAAAAAATTTTATGCATGGGTGCATTTTGTTTATATTTGTAACATGAAGGGCCCCTATGCAAAGGAACTACAAATATAATAAAATAGAATTTATTTACAATCTGTAGATCATTCATAGGCCTAAGCAAAGGTTCTAGAACATGTCATTCAGGTCTAAATTGTTCTTGTGATGGTATTACTTAGCATCACTGGGTTTCTGGGCTTTCCCATTGTCTGGTATTTCAGATGTTTTTGGAACTGGATCTATTTGTTTTCAGGTGAAGGGGCACCAGCTTAGCTCCTGGATCATGCCCAGTGGTTGAGATAAGCTCTAACAGATCCAGTTTGTGAAACTGTCATTGTTGCACTTTTATTAACAAAAGGACTGGAACACCTGCAGTTCTTATGTATAAATAATAGTCAGTTCCTTTCATGCTTGGGAAGAGCCAGGGTGCCCTACAGTTATGATGTGAGGATACGAATAATGGTCAAGTAAAGGGGATTGGAAAAGAATATGGCAGGATGAGGAATGAAACGGTAGGGATTAAAGAACTCTTTTAGTGTGAATGGGAGAGGAATGATGGTGGGACAAATAAAAGGGATGGGGAAACAAGACAGGCTGGAAATGAAATGAAATGAATGCGATAAAGGAAGGGAAGAATGAAATTTTTTACCTATTTTGTTTGACATGTCATATGCTAAACATAATTATAAGCTTAATGGGAAGAAATTTTAGATGCTATGATTTGATGAGCAGGATCTATGCAGGGTTGGTGTTTCTTTTAAGACTGGCCCTCCTCCAGTATGTGAATGGGAGTACAGCTTCTTCAGTCAGTACAGCAATGTCCACTGGATTAGGTACTTTTAATGTAAATTTAAAGTATTAAAAGCACATTAAATTGATCATAATAGGCAGGGGAAATCATAACTTCATAGTAACCACCAAAATATAACTATAAGGAAAGGCATCAGTCACAACCTACAAAGGACAGTTTTTCCTTCAAAAGGATGAACACACAAGAGACACCAACTAAAACTACATCAGATACTCACATATGACAATTACACTAGTGTTCATCCTCAAGAGAAAAACGAATTATTATGCATTTCAACTTCAAACCTTCAATTAATTTTAACTGATGCTTCCCATATAGCAAAAATACTTACAACATGAGATATACCTCAGGATGACAATATAGGCCCAGAACATTTTCTATGAATAACAGAAGAAGTGAATGAAATATGAGTGTGGCAATAACCATGCGGCCAGTGAAGCATTTATGAGAGTTGCACTAGTAAAACTAAAATTAAAATGGTGCACAATCAATGCAACAGGAAGCTTAAATATAATATTATGCATAGAAATACCTCTTCTTTCCTGGAATATGGTTGTTTTCTTGTCAGTATCACAATACATAGTAGCTAAAATGCTAAAGGGATAACACTGAAATTTATAAAACAGGTATAGTTACTTTATTTGCTGTTTAATTACATTATCAATAAAAGTAAGTAAAGGTATCCATATAACAGGCCATGGAGGCCCATAGAGTTGTGAGATGTTGAGGCTTCCACAGTTTCTCTAGACAATCAACTCACAGATGGCGGTGAGGTTGTCAGCTTTATGCACTGGCCGCCCTTTACTCCCAATAACATTCCAAGCATATTCCTGGTACTCAATTCTGTTAGAGGCTGAGTCAACCCCAGGACCATAGTGCGGCCGGAAGGATTAGGTAAATTGAAAAGAAATCCAATGACCTCATCGGGATTCAATCCCGCGACCTTCCAGCTTGTAGCATAGTGCATTACATCATCAGTAGCGCAGATTATATAGTATAAAGTTATAGCATGACTGGTGAATATTGAATTGGAAATTCCTCTAGCCTAATTTTAGGTAGTATCACAGAATGTTCCTGAAGGAATGGGGAAAGCACGAAAAGCCTGTCTGGATGACTGACTTTCAGCTTGAAATCTGAATCCAGGATCTCCCAGATATGCTGGAATGACATCCATTCAACCACAACATTCACTAGCAACTGTTACTGTAAAGTCTTTAAGCTAATGTGTATCAACAAAATAGACAGTGATAGAAATGAACTGCTGTTTCATCAGGATATTGCCATTTGTCTTTCCTTAACCCACTCCCTGCCAGTGAGCTGATTAAGCAGATAAGTAGTATCTGATATGCCCATCACAATCTGATTTGTTGACTGCTTAGAGACCAGTTTTAAATTGCTTGTAATTTATATACAGTAAAACTTGGTTATAGCAACATCGGTTTCTGCGACACCTTGTCTATTGCGTCAAATATTCAATGGTACAAACTAATTCCTCATAAAGCAACTGTTTTTATACCTTGCTTAGTATGACATGCACAACTGCATCAACCTCGTATGTAACGTCATTTTCATTCCTGAATTTCTCTGATATCGTGGGAAAGTTCGATGTGTCTGCCCACCCTCACTTTCTCTACTTGCTGACGTGACTGTCCTGGAAGAATACGACCGCGGGCTGCAAGAGGAGCGTGGGTTTTATGCGAAAACAAGGGTGTGGGGTGGGACTGCGTGAATAGTGCAAGAGGACGCGGCAGGTTGTTAACTGCATTCCTTTCCTAGAATCTCGTCTAACAGGACCTCACATTGTCTACTTACCCTATAGTGTTCCTGCCTAAACCCAGAGAAGTGCAGTAGCGAAAACATGGCAATGAAAAGGAAAGTTTTAAGCATTGAAGAGAAAGTTAAAGTGATTCGTGAAATAGAAAATGGAAGGAAAAAAGCTGATGTATGCCGCGAATTTGGTTTGGTGAATTCTACAGTACAAACGATATGGAGAATCCATATTAATTCCACGTTAATGTTACGTTAGTCTGTACTTAACTACGTATTTCACTAAAAAATGCAACATTTTAACTCGGTTTTTGGTAGATTTTTACGTGACTAACATAAGGCTACTGTGAAAGTGCCCATTTCGGTTACGACGACATTCGTTTATAACGACACTATTTTTAGGTCCCTTTGATGACGTTATAACCAAGTTCTACTGTATATTATGTTAAGAATAGCTTGGAAATTCTTGAACTGTTTGGAAGAGTGTTAAATATTAGAAATTGACTGGATCACATTTATGCTTCCTGAGGCCTTTGGACCAAGTGAACTGCTTGCCACAACGAGTGCAGGAGTGGCGTTTCTCCCCAGTGTGTGTTACCCTGTGCTCTTTCAATCCATCATTCCTTGCAAATCTCTTTCCACAAAGATCACAACTATATGGCCGTTCTCCAGTATGAAGTCGCTGGTGATTTGTGAGGATGGCAGCTGTTTTGAATCTTTTATCACAAATGTCACATACAAAATTCTTATCATTACTATGTGTTAATCTGTGTCTCTTCAGATCTACATTAACTGTAAAAGCCTTCCCACACATTTCACACATGTGTGGTTTGATTTTTGTGTGTGAAGCTTTGTGACGTTCAAAATTCCCTTTGGAGAAAGAGCGATGCCCACAGATATCACATATAAAAGAATTTTCCCCTCTGTGAATATTCAGATGGTATGTCAGGCTGTTGCTATACATGAATGCCTTCCCGCAGAGGTTACAAATGTGTGGTTTCTCACCTGTATGTTTACGCATGTGCACATTTCGATGCATCTCTGCTGAGAAATAACTTCCACAAGTTTCACATTGATATTTCCCAGTGTGGTAGGCAGCATGACATCTCATTGTTTTAATGCTTGTAAACTCATTTCCACATATGTTGCAAATGTAACATTTGGAATTCATGAAATTACACATGTGGAAAGAGAGGTTGATGTCCATTGTGTATGTATTCCCACATTTATGACACGTGTAATTTGTATTTGTAGAACTGGTACATTTGTTGAAGTTATGTTCGACACTCAGCGATACAGCTAGGTTACTATGCTCATCCATTTTATTGTCTGGACTGTGACTGTGTGTTATCTGATGATAGTCTGTTACAATGCATTTAATATCTGAAGCAGGTGTCTGTGTTACCACAAAAGTGTGTTCATTGACAAATGCTTCAGTCTCTATGTATTCAAATGCTTGAGTTTTCAGTTTTCCTTCTGGATGAAACACTGTACATGGTTGACTGCCCTTACAACATTTGTAACGAGGTGCATCACCATTTGTAACCTGGGACTCACTTTCAACAACAGTACTAACTGCTTCTTTGTCTCTTTTATTATTACTAGAGAATAACGTTTCTCTTGCTGTTACTGAAACAGAATTTTCTAACAGTGCTTCTGCCAATGTCCCAAAATAGTGTTCAGTGCTTTGATTTTCTGGACATGCTTGGAGATCACTGTCTTCATTGCTGAAACTCACAGAGCTATCTCCACTGTGAGGAGGCTCATCCTTGACGCCATGTGGGTGACTTCTAACCCTAAACAGATCACTTGACAGGGGTGGCACAAGCATATCAGGGGTTGCATTTGAAAGAGAGTCTGTCTGTGCCGTGGTGTCCTGAAACAGCAGAATGAAATATGTTACAAACTCAGGATATCACATGTAGTATGTAGACCAAGATTCATTTGTACAGTTACTAATATCACATTACTTATAAGGATGAATATAAGCAATGAATTTGAAGAAAGTGTTGTAGTCCGTTACTATTTTAGTATCCCAGTATTGATATTGAAGGACAGAGTAAAATTCCTTAATGAGAATAGCCGGTTAGAGATTAACATCTTTAGGGATGTGGCAGATACAGCACAACTGTTTCACACTAATTTGGTGAATCCAACTTTTGGTAGATGGGTCACTCCTCTGCCCCCAAATTTTATTTGGACCTTGAGTCCAGGGGGTTCTTAAAATGAATGAAGCTAAACCAAACATGAATGACTGCAAAATTTAATGTAGGTCTTCTGTATCCAGTTCAATAAAAATAGTTCTGACAATTTTTCTTGCAGATGGACAGAGGGAGGAATATCATGAAACAAAGTGGCTTTAGAAATGCAACTATGCCGAGGTGATGGTAACGAGACCCATGAATTAAGCCTCTCCACATCTTCAAGCCATTACATTTCTCTCTCTAGTTCACTTCACTATGATCCCTATCAGTCAGATAACTATTCTTTTCGTATAAAGATGGGTAGTGATGACTTTTGCTAATGACAGGCACTCTGAACTGGTTGATTTAATTAAGACAGTGCTGGAGAAGAATACAACATGGGCAGAGAGGGGAAGTCTCAGTGTCATCATGCACACCATCCACAGGACTGCTTCTAAGTGGTTTCCAAAAGTAACAGATGAAAGTATTACAAGGGAAAACAATGATGCATGCTACTCCAAACCTTACTTGATTCTGTTGCACTTTGCTGATATACTGATGCAGAAACACATCAGCATTCTTGCACTGGTTCCTGAATTTATACCATTTATTTACTTGATGAAGGCATTTGTGGCATATCTGTTGTGGTAGACCATCTCCTGCAGACACCTGAAATGTTGGCGGATGCAGTTTGGAAATGACATTCTATCAAATATTTAAACTCTACAATCAGCAGATCAAGGTATATGGTTTGGTACTGTGTGAGAACTAGGGTTCTCATGGCAGTAACTATGAAGATTATCATCTCATAGGGTGTAACACCTTGTAGTCTGGTTAGATCATTACCAGTGTCTTAGAGGAACATTTAATGATGATGTACAAGACTGCAAGGTGGCACAGCCTAGAAGATATTCATAATTTAATATGGTGCTGACTATGCATATATTTTAACTTATTTCTAAAATTAAAAACATATGGAGACCCTGGAATGGGGTCCATTCAGCCTCATGAGGATAATTGTGAAGCTGTTTCAAGTAAATAGTGGCTCCAGTCTATAAAACTGAGATTAAAAGCCATGGGGATCTGTGGCACTGACCACATGACACCCTCTATCCATAAAAAGTTGGCACTAACTTTGCCAACAAGCGGTGATCAGTTGGTCAGTATAATTCGCATGTGGACTACAGACCACAAAGTTCATTTGTTTTTTTATAAGGAGATGGGTTGTCCTGATAACATTTGAGGGAGTCAGCCAGTTACACTAAAGACTGTTAGGAAGGTCAACTGCTAGAGGTAATTTATTTATTTATGCTTTATTTAATGCTGCTGTCACTATATCAGACTATTTTTCCATATATTTTGAGTGAATGTATAGTCCAAACTTATCACACTTTCACACTTTTGAGTGAACTCTCATCATGATATATTACTAGTAGAAGGAATCTTCCGATATCACATCACCCCCCCTTTTACCTTCCCCGGAATGTGATTGTTTTGTGTGCTATTAGCAACACCACTGCATTAATTGAAGAACCACATTTAATTTAAATAGCCCATAAAATTCCAAAACCTTGGGTATATATAAGTTAACTATGACCAGAATATTTTACGAAGTTAATACATGGTTTAGAATCAATATGTTAAAACTAAATGTTAATAAAACCCATAATCTTCAGTTCATAACAATGAACCATGATGACTGTGGTATGCATAACATTAGTCATAATTTACCAGCTAATTGAGTGTATTAAATTTTGGGGCTTAAATATAGATAATAAGCTATCTTGGAAAAATCAAACCTATAATGTTATTAAGGAGCTTGAGAATGATCTATTTTGCTTATATACATTCTATTATGACATATCGAATCATCTTTTGGGATAATAAAACTTTTTAGGATCCAAAAGAATGTTATAAGGATCATGATGGGCTTAAAGAAAAGAGAGCATGTAGGGATTCTTTTAAGGAAATCAATATATTGTCCTTGTGCTCTCAATATATATATATTCTTTGATGAAATATACTGTAAATAATATACACTTTTTTACAAGAAATACTGAGGTTCATAATACTGATACCAGACAAAATATTAATGTATTCCCCCCCCCCAAGTACTTCATTTACTAAAGTTCAAAAGGATCTTACTATTCAGGTATAAAGATTAAAAACCACTTACATAGGGAACTCAAACACCTATCCAATGATCAAAAATCCTTTGGCTTTGTCCTAAAGAGATTTTTATATGCAAATTCTTTTTTATTTACTGAATTTATTCACTGCTGCATTGTGTATTTATGCTGTCATAACGGTAACCACATCCACAGAATGTAATTTCTTAATGGATCTATGGTGAACTAATAATAAATAATAAAAAAAATCATATTCATCATCTTGTTTCGCATGAATATACGACACACAAGAACATGTACATAAAGCTAACCTCAATTGAGATGCATGCCAAGATCCGATCAGCCGTTGCAGATTTTTTCTCATCGTTAAATATATCGGACATTGTACCTTCAGTCAGTAAACACAATCGACACAGTTTCGACATATTAAGAGACATTTTATCCCTGTTTTTAATATGCAGCTTGAAGGAAATCCATGCAGCATAATACTATTCACAGTATTTCTGTGTACCATCCTTGTTTTCCTACAACAGATCAAATCTGACCTACGAAGTGTAAGAGGAGCATTTTGGCGATGTTGGGAGGACCGGATAATTGTCTGGATTATATACAATGTAAAATAAAGTAAACTTCGCTTTTAATTTAGCGGAATTCACTCTTGAGCCTCGTGAGCCAAGCACCGCCCACCTGACTACAACTCACTTGAAGCACTTGATAGAATGAATTTGGAACAAATACCTACGCCGCTTTCAATTTCAATAGGTCGATCTCTTGCCACAGACGAACAATTTACTCACTGAATTAGTCTATACTCGGCCCGCCCGCGGTTCTGATTCGTTGGCCGATTACGTCAAATGTAAAGGTAACAAAGGCAAAGCGCGATATAACTCCATTACTATGGGAAATGGCGGGTAGCTGGTTTAAATGAAATATAAAAAAAACATTCAACAAAATCACATCATTACAATAAAGAAGTACCAATAAAATCAGAATTTTAAATTGATATTTCGATTATCATTTACATTTCGTCAATTCCGATTTATTTATTTGTGGTTTAATTTGACGGTGATCGGATAGTATAGTGTCAAATGGTAGAATAGGAATCGATAGTACGTAATTAATGATTTGGAAAGGTCATGAACGAAAGCGGTCTAGGTCGTCTAGGTATAATTTTACATCAATTCAATCATTCAAAATGGTTTTCCCCATGAATAATGCATTGTTAGTAATGCACACTGCGCTGTATTTAATGTATGAATGTTACATTTCAGCATCCTATTGCACTGTATTGATCTGACTTAGCAGTGCCGTGTAAGTTTAACGTCGTTCACTATTTTTTCGTATTCATTTATTGGACACTACATGTTTCGGCCTAACTGGACATATTAAGTTGTACAGGTTGTTGCCGTTAAGGATTCTGATGCTTGCTTCAATGCAATTGTGAAATTCCAGGTATAAACACTGAATGATAAGTTGTCCAGTCATATTTTTGAACATTTGTGTCTAGAAAATTCTTGAAGACTAATTATTCTCAGATATTTTCAATTTCTTTAGAAATATTGTCATGTTTCAAGCGTCAATTCATGGGTAAGGATCCTGAAATGCCAGCAGCAGATTGCTGTTTTTGTTTTATTAGCTGTTTTGCGTTGAAGTTATGAGATATTGTTTGCATATTGCACAGACCTTCTCTTTTGATCCTTGAATACTGTGACATAAAACAAATGCTAGGCACTGCTACAGCATGAGTTTATAACAGATTACATCTAAAGGTGAAGGTAAAGCTATCCTTATAACAGGCCGTGAAGGCCCATAGGGCTGTAAGATATCGAAAATCTTGTGGGGTCTTATGTAGTTTTGTCATTACTCCGATGACAACCCACTTCTTCGGAACACTTTGTTGGTCCTGAAAAGGACCGTGGTTGATCAGATGCTTGACCGGTGAGGTAGCGCGGCGCTCGCCGGTAGGGAGAGAGGTTAGTTGCGTGCGGCCGTTGCCGGAGGTTGCTTGGTCGCCGTGCGGCAGGTGAGTTGGAGTTGCGTGGCTAACGCAGCGCGGTCGTAGGCTGCTGGTGAAAGGCTAGAATTTGAGCGCGGTCATAGGAGTGATGAGGCAGTGGCTACGCCAGATGCTCAGTGGGTCGGACAGGGACACGACTACCGGCGAGTCCAGGCGAGGTGCCCCAGTGTATCGGGTGTCACAGCCGGAGGGCCGAGGCAGTCGTGCCTGGCGCAGCCTGCCGATGCCTCCGAAGACCGAGCGCTGGCGACGAAGCCTGCTGGCTGATGTTGCTTGGTGTGGCTAGCTCGTAGACTGATGATCGACTGCTCTTGCCGTCAAAGTCAAAGTCATGTTACAACTGACGGTCAGTCAGTCTCTCTGTGGGGCTCATGACCAGTTCTTTGTGAAAGTTGCTGTCCTGTCCATTTGGGGCGCCCTCTCTGACGAGAGGTCGGGTTTGTCATTTGTCAGTCAGTTTGTTTTTATATGTCCAATGTCTGTATTTACATAGATTTACAATACACACTTATTACTTATTTATGTACAATATATAACAAATTAATGCAGATCCTGAAAGAAACAGGTATCGATTAGCATGAAAGAAGATTGATTAGCAAATTGTACATGGATCAGAAAGTTAGAGTACGACTGGACACGGGGGAGACAGGAAGTGTGCAGATTGGAAGAGGAGTTCGACAAGGATGCTGTTTATCACCAATTCTGTTCAACTTGTACAGCGAATGCCTTACCAAGGAAGCTCTGGATGGGCTCGGTGACTTCAAAGTAGGAGGGCAAATTATTCAAACTGTGAAATATGCAGATGACCTTGTGTTAATGGCTAAGGAAGAAACTGTGCTACAGGGCATGATTGATAGACTAATTGAAATTGGAAGGTGCTATGGCATGGAAATGAATGTGGAGAAAACAAAAGTAATGAAAATTTCGAGACAACCAACCCCAGTCACAATAAAGATAGACCAAAAACAAGTGGAGAATGTGAAATGTTTTAAATATTTGGGTAGCTTGTTAACAGATGATGGAAGGTGTACTTGTGAAATTAAATCCAGGATTGCCATGGCAAAAGCTGCATTTAGCAAGAAGAAGAATCTTTTTACCAGCAAATTGGACTTAAATTTGAGGAAGAAACTAGTGAAATGCTACATTTGGAGCATAGCTCTGTATGGGGCTGAAACATGGACACTTAGGGCAGTAGATCAGAAACATCTGGAAAGTTTCGAAATGTGGTGTTGGAGAAGAATGGTGAAGATCAGTTGGACCGATTATGTGAGAAATGAAGAAGTGTTAATTAGAGTCAGTGAGCAGAGGAATATCCTACATGAAATAAGAAAACGGAAGGCTAATTGGATTGGTCATGTTTTACGCAGAAACTGCCTTCTAAAAGAAGCTATCGAAGGAAAGATAGATGGGCGGATAGAAGTGACAAGAAGACGAGGAAGAAGACGTAAGAAGATGCTGGATGACCTTGGGGACAGAAGAGGATACTGTCATTTGAAGGAGAAAGCTCTAGTTCGCATTAAGTGGAGGAATTGTTTTGAAAGAGACTGTGGACCTGTCGTCTTGACAGATTACTGATGATGATGATGATGATGATGATATACAAGGCCTCTGTCAGTCCAGGCTCAGTACAGCAGATTACGCCCTATTTCCATTATTATTTGTTACCACGGCAGTCTAGTCACTTGAACGGTCGTATGCCTGACCGCCGCCAAGTTTAAGCCAATTATACTCGTACTTTATGTGGCAGGCTTCGCCTTGTCCGATGTATGAACATTCTCATTATCATGATTTTGTATGACTTCTGCTTGTTGCCTGCATAATTTTGTTATAAAATCATATACGTACGGGATTTTGAATGCCATGTGTAAATCGCGGACCGGTGTGCGCCTCGGAAAATTGTCAATTATGCGGAGAACCTTGTTTTGTAGGCGCTGCAATTTCAATAGATGGATATCTGCCGCAAACTCCCAGGCGGGACTAGCATAAGCCATTACAGATCTAATAAGAGCTTTATGGAGGGTTAGGTTAATGTCAGCGCTCAATCGCTCATTTTTGAATAGGGAATACACTCTAATGAATGTCCTGAAGGCGAGGCTTCGATCATTTCTATGTGTAATCTCCAAGTCACTCTCTTATCGAAGATTACACCGAGATATTTTGCAATATTTACAAATGGAATATTTCTTCCATTTAGAGTAAGACAAGACTCAGGCGGTCGACGACAACGAGAGAAGTAGATCCCCCGAGTCTTATCTTCATTAATTTTTTATTCCAGAGCTCACACCAGGTCTCCATTGAGCTGAGACCGCGCTGGAGTTTTCTAACAATACAACCCTCTTTGCGATCTGTGGCATATAGACAGGTGTCGTCCACAAAAAGGGCCAAATGAATACCATGAGTTTGGGGGGCATCATTAATATACATATTGAAAAGGGTGGGGGAAAGGACAGAACCTTGTGCCACTCCTACTTGAATTTCCCTTGGCGTTGACATTTCGCCTTCAACAGAGACCCTGAAATTATTATGTAGAGAGAGGGGACAGAATAAGCTTGGTCAAAGAGTTAGAGAATTCTAATTTTGATAACTTATACAGCAAGCCTGAGTGCCACGTGGTATCAAAGGCTTTTTCGATGTCCAAGAACACTGCAGCCGTAGACATTTTATTGTTGAAATTAAGGGTCACGTGGTCCGCCAGCCTCATACATTGCAATGTCGTGCTGTGACGTGCACGAAAACCAAACTGACTTGCGTTGAGCAGGTCTCTTTCTTCAATATGTTTATGGAGGAATTTCAAAATTGCTTTTTCGAATAGTTTTCCTGTCGTGGACAGGAGGCTGATCGGACGTAAATTTTGAGGAAATTTCGGGTCTTTACCCGGTTTAGGTAAAGTTATTATTTTTGCTTCCTTCCAAGTATTTGGAAAGTGAGAGAGCCGAAAACAGTGATTGAATAAGTGAGTTAGGTGAACCAATGGTCTCCTTGGAAGGTGCCTGAGGCATTCATTTGGGATGCCGTCAATTCCACAGGCCTTTTTTAATTTCAGGGATTTTATTAATTTCTGAACGTCACATGGTCTGATCCTTAGAGGGGGGTTTTCATCCACGGCTTCCAGCAGAGCTTGAACTCTAGCCTCCACCCGCTCTTCATGGTTTTTATCGCACAGGTCATGTGGCGTGAACTGAGTTTCCAAACAGTCGGCAATTTCATTGGCTTTTTCAGAAGGATGAAATTTTAGGCCAGAAGAACCATGAATAGCAGTTGGTGCCCTTGGTCCGTCTCTCTGAAGGAGAGATTTCGCAATGGGCCATATACACTGAGGTGTGACTTCGGTGTTACTTATTTTTGTTTCCCACCGTTCAAGTGCCTTTTTTCGGGTCATTCGCCTGATTGCTTTGGTGACCCAATTGACTGCCGTTTTACATGCTGGATCCCTGGTTTCTTGCCACAGTTTTCGTAGCCTCTGCTTGTATTTAATCAAACGATCTAGACCAGGAAGATCGTTGTTTATGTCCGAAAGTGTAACTTTACTTGTCGACAGCCTATATGCCGAAGCAATAGAGGCTGCAAAGTCGCGTGCCGCTTTATCTGCTTCTACCCCCGAATTAATTACTAGTTTAGGTGATATTAATTCAGAAGCGAGGCTTTGAAACCGCTCCCAATCTGTAAATTTTTCAATGGGTTCCGAAAGGTTGCTAATTTTAACGTGATCCAGT